TTTGTGGCAAGGGCACATTGCTGGCTCATGGTCAATTTGGTGTCCACCAGGATTCCCAGGTTCTTCTCTGCCAAGTTGCTTTCCAGCTGGGTAGCCCCCAGCATGTACTGGTTGTTCCTCCCCAGGTGCAGGAGTTTGCACTTCCCCTTGCTGAACTGCATGAGGTTCTTGTCAGCCCGTTTCTCCAGTCTGTCAAGGTCCCTCTGGATGGCAGCACGACCCTCTGGCATGTCAGCCACTCCTCCCAGTTTTGTGTCATTCGCAAACTTGCTGATGGTACACTTTGCCCCATTATCCAGATCATTAAGGGTAGTTACTTGCCTCCAACTAGACTTCATAACAGTGATCAAACAGATAAGCAATGAAGTCAGGTTAACATTTGCTTGATGATTGTTGTTAAATCTGAAGGGAAAAAAAAACTAAAAGCGGCATAAGCCAAATGTGAAGGGCTGTGAGCTAAAACACAAAGCGTGATACTGTTTCCAAAAGTCTTCTTGAGAGAAGCAAAACAGCTGCTGTACAAGATGGTATTTTAATGAATAGGCAGTGGCTTTCTTTTCTGTTTGTTAATATTTTTTAAGAACATTATGAGCTGAAAACAACTGCCTTGTAGTTAAGGGTAGTCCTTACCTGGGGAATGGGGGGGATTGTTCCACTTACGAGCTTTATAAACCTCACTTAGATCTTTCTTTGTCATTGGGTGGATTGCCTACTCTGGAGGCAAAATGCAAATGAAGGTGTGCTGCACAGGTAACTACAAACCTCCTACAGTACTTGGTACAGAGTGTAACAAGGTACAGCCTGTAGAAATGTGTTACAACATGCAACAAGTTTCCGTAGGGGCTTTTTTTAGTTTCCTTTTAAACCAATGCTTGAACTTCTTGCAGATTTCTTGTGTGCCTTTGTAACAGCCCTCCCAGGGGTTTCACTGGCTATCCTCCACATCCCTCAGAGGGTAAGGTTGCACATTAGGCTGATCACAAAAAGGGGTGCATTGGAGAAAATTAGAATATCCTTTATAAAGTGTTCATCTCCTTTTTTTCTTCTCTTTTCTATCATTTAACAACTAAATATGCTTGTCTTCCCAGTATTGTCTTGGTAATGAATAACCTATAGCATTGCTGTTTTGCAAGGTATTGTCCTCACTTTGTAAGGTATTGTTCTCTCAGACTTCATCACATGAAACATATGCATGTCCATGAACAAAGAAATCTGCTAAAAAATTTTCTCTTGAGACCTCCACCACCCAAAAAGCATTTAAGATGCCTCTGTCCGTAGTTCTTTAATCTGCTTTGTGAGGAATTCAAATTACAGAAGTCTCTGTCTACCCACAGGCATGTTTTCATCTCAGTGGCACCCCAGTGAAGTGCTGCTGTTACGATAGTTGTGCAGGTGGCTTTTTCACAGGGTCACTGAAAACTGTAGAATGAGATAGTGAACATTGTTCCTTCCTATTGTTAATAAGGATTAAAGACATTACTTAAATGAAAAAGTTATTAACTTTTAATACATGTGAGTTCAAGGCATACTTTTCCTATGTGTCTTTTTATACTGATGCAACTGAAAGCAGTTTCGCACAGGAAGAAAGTAAATGCGAGTTTAATTCAGATACAAGTTGCCATTACTTGTAGACTATATTGCTAAAGAAACAACTACAATGCTATGATACTGTTTTCCAAAGCTATCAAAATACTAGCTTATAGGTCATCTGGAACAGAAGATGGAGAACACTTCTTAATGATTTCGAAGTGCCCTAAAATGCAATGGTAATCCTAAATTTGAATCTGATCTTTCAAACAGAATTTTCCTGCAGAGCTTGTATGTGATTGGCATGCCTTTTGTTGGCAGTGCCTGCATCCAAGTGATCTTTTACTGCCTGAAAATGAGAAAAATTGGAGACTGTACCAAAACTTTTTTTTTCCTTTTTAAAGCACCAGAATAATAAATAGGGGGTTTATGGAATTATCCGGTATAAGGAGCTTCTGTAAATCAGTGTAAAGTTCATGAACATTTTGCACAGAGGGAATCTGATACATGCTGTTTGACAGATGTTGCCTGTTTCCTAGTGCTTCTTGTTGGGTAAGGCAGATTCTACAAATGCAGTACCTGGTAGCAAAATTATTTAGCTTTGTTAATTGCGTTCTTAAAATCAGGATGCACACGGTATGGTAGGGGTGGAAAGGCTGGCTTCCTGCTGTTTTCCAGGCTTCGATGACTGCTGGCGTATGTGGTACGACATAGAAGTTACCTGTTTTGCTTACACCCACATACGCTTCTGTAAAGTACTAATAGGACAGTGTAGGAACTGTTTTAGTTTAGAGGTTTGTGCATATGTATAGTCACCATTTCTTGTTACTCTGGCTTTTCTGGTGTGCATGGCATCAGCTCTAGCAGGTGGTGGTGAAGTAGCACCAAAAGGCCACGGTGAGAGATGTCCCTGTGCAGGCACAACAGACAACGGTCACCTCCAGCTGCAGAAAAGCTAAACGAGTGACTGCAAGTTTTCAGTGGGGAAGAAAGGCTTAACAGCCATTCCAGCAGAATTCAGTGAGCTGGTGCCTCCAGATCCCAGGCCCTGCTGCCTCCCATTGTGATTCCCTCCTGTAATGCTCCCAATGTGTAGCTCCCTGCTTCCCGTCCTCCCCCGCAGACATGGTCTTCCCCTTTTAAATCACAGCACCACTGCCATTTTGTAGCAGCTGAGAGCCAAGGCCTGGTGTCCACATGCTGTGTGCCCAGTTCCCGTGGTGTCAGCAGTCAGTGACAGCTACAGGCGATGGGCTAACTTTTGCTGGAAGCCAGCGGTGGTCCAAAGGTGGATCTCGCAGAGGGCATGTGGTCCAGAGGCTGAAACTGGGAAGCTCTCTCAACGTATCTCTCTGGTTTCCCTTTGTCTCCGATATACGTATTATTTTTCAGTTCATTCTCTTCAGAGCTCAGTAAGAAGCAGCTTTCTGTCCCATGAAACTTTACAACACACACAAAGTATTAGAAAACAACTGTGAGCGAAACAAAGCATTATGAAACAGAGGTAAAACCAAGAATTTTACAAAAAATCTTAGGGTAAGCCAGGTATGAAAAGGGTTCAGGAGTGATCCAGAAAGTCTGACTTACTGTCCAGCAGATTTGTAGAAACTATAGCAGGCAGCAGAATTAATAAACAAATGGATAATTAGAGTCATTAGGAGGCACCAGAATTACTTCCTTAGAGAAAAAATTGTCACAGAGCAGATAGTGAGCATGTGGATAGGTATAGTCAATGTAGTGCACTTGAATTTTCAAAAGGTTTTGATAGCATTATCAAAGGTTTTTAAAGAAGCAAAGATGTCTTGTGACTAGAAGGAAAGACTTTTTATGGATTAATAATTAGAAAGCAATAAAAATATATGCTTGGTTTATCAGTGGAGAGAGGTTTCCTGTGAAGTCTCTCAAGGATCTTTGTTGGAATGTGTGCTATTCCACTGCTTCAATAATGACCCAGAAAGAGACTGAATGCGCTGATAATAGAAAATTATTCAAGGTAGGAAAAACTAAAAGCTGGCTACGGGGACTTACAGAAGGCTCCTAATTTACTCTGTATTAGGTGAAAAAATGGTTAGTTGAATTTCTGTCACAAAATGCTAACTAATGTCCACAAAAAAACACAAATTATATAAATGTGTATACTGATGAGCTCCAAATTAGCTATTGTTTTCAGAAAAGAGATCTGATACTGCAGAAACATCACAAAGCTGTCAGCTCAGTAAGCAATCACGAAAGCAAATAAAAAGTTGGATTTTGATAAGAAGCCACCACTAAATCTGCCTACACATACAATGCTGCCTGCAGTTCTGGCTACATTTCGAAAAGGACTTAGTAGAAGGTGAAAAGGTGTAGGGAAAAGCGGCAAAAAGGATCAAATGCATCAGAATGACTTCTGTAAAATGAGAGACTGTATAAACTGGGATTTTTCTGTCCGATTAGAGACTACTACTGGAGTAGTTTAAAGTCAAGAATGGTATGGGGAAGGTGGGTAAGGAACAATTATTTGCAAAGTCTCATAATTCAAAAACAAGGGAAAGATTATCTGTCACCATATCTAAAATAGAAGGTGGGTTTTTTTTAATTTTAATCAATGTGTAACAATGTTGTGAAACTCCCAGCCATAGGATCTTGCAAAGGCTAAAGATAGAAGTGAACACAAGAGAAAACTAGACGTAATCACAAAGGTTAGGTTCAATGTTTGCTGTTACACACAGTGAACCAAGTGCAACCTCCAAGTCAAAAAAAGCCCGAAACCACAGACTGCCAAAAGCTGGGGCAGTGCATGAGGGGCAGACCTCCGAACTTGCTCTCCTTCTCCCCTAAGCATCCTTTATCTGCTGCTGATACTGGACGCCTGTCTGACACAGCACTGTCTCTTCTTACGTTCTGTATGCTTCTGCTGAAGGGTCAGAGCAAGAGCCCTGGCCTTCCTGTAGATGCGCTCAGTGATGCTTGGAAACTTTGTCTTGCATTTAGGGAGCCCAGCTTCCAACTTTGTGTCCTGGCTGCCTCGGCAAAGAACACCAATCCAGAACGTTCACGGCCTGAGAAATTTCCTTCCAGGGCACATGCTGACATCAATTGCCATTAAAAAGGGTGGGAGGGGGGTTGAGAAGAGGTGTGTAATTGCTTTTACCATCTGTTTCTCCAGTTGTGTCAAGAAGCAAATTCAATGGGAAGTTTTTTAGTCTGTCTTCTGTGATACAGAAAATAACTTTATTTTACTTACCTTCCTTTTTTTAATTTCACTCTTGCCCCTGTTCTTTCAATAGACACACCTTTATTTTTGTTTAAATAGTCTTTATCAAGCAGAACATTTGATTTATATGTATTTTATATTTTTATTTTGCACCTTGTCATATTCTTTGCTGTTTGTACACTGGTATGGAATGTCTTTCTGGTACAGATTATCTGAAAAGGCTGCTCTGCCCTCTCTTCCTTTCACGCTTCATTTTTCTCTCTCTTTGCTTCTGTAGATGACAAAGTCCACAATGGAAGGATCCAGCCAAACATGCCTAGTGCCACAACCAGGCCTGTCAGATGGAACACCTCAGGTCGGCCTCCGATTAACAGACAGTTCATGTTGGAAGGAGATGGATTTAACAGATGAAATCGCCTTCGTTAACAGTGATGCATTTTTCTCCAGGTTAGTGCTCCTTTTTTGTCTTTGTTTCTTTCTTTGTTCTGTACCTGCACCTCCAGCTCTGAGCGCTTGGAACACTTTTTTTTCCATTGATGCTTACAAAGTCAGTATGCTGGGGGGTAAGGCAAATTAATGTGCGTATCCCTGTGGAAGCCACACATTCCAACAGGTTCCTTACAAAGCCAGCTGTGTGCTTTAGTTTGCCTTTCCAATATAAATTTTCAAGCATATGAAGGTGGCCTGCTTGGTGAAGGAGTGCAGATGGACAGGACTGATCTAAGATCGGGCACTAGAAATTACACTGAGCACAACATGCAACCAAAATGTAAGGTTTCTCCTCTGAGTAATTAAGCATATTTGATCTGCCCAGTTTAAGTCTTAACAGATGGCTGACTTTATTCCCATTCTCAATCCAAAAAGGAAGGGGCTTTTGAGGGGTTTTATCTTTCTGGCAGGAATGATGATAGTACTAGCGTTGTTCAGACAAGACAAAGAATAAAAGAGTATCTATAGAGTATCTATAAGAGTCTATCTGTCTAGAGCAGCTATAAGAGTATCTGTCTAAAAGAGTATCTTGAGTTTTGATTGCTGGCACTTTGTCAATGAGGTGAACAGGTAATGGGCAATTCGGTTTCTTGTAAAGTCCTTCCCTGAACATCAGACTGAACCAGTATCTTTTCATTGTTCTCAGGATATTGAATTGAGTCTGTCATTCCCTTTCTTCTTGTGTCTAGTGCAGCACATGAAGGATTCAGGTTACTGTGGGAAATTGCTGTATGCTACTGAAATACGGGGTTGGCCTAATGTGGGAAATAGTGCTATTTACATGTCATGAAACACGACACCGCAGTGTCTCTGCATACCAACGCAGAACACAAAGCAGAGGCAGTGCTGCCAGACACGTAACCGAGTGACTTCACTGTGTAAGCAGGAGACGGGTGCTATTCTCAGCACTAGTGCAGACAGACAGACAGCACTCAGCTTATGAGACGAGTTAGCAAATTATGCACTAGCAACAGATTTTGATTCATAATAACGGTGGGACGAGTTAGGAAATTATGCACTAACACCAGATTTTGAATCATAATGATGGTGGTGAAGCGTAGATGTCAAATCCGGTTTCTAGCCCTTGCAGGCACACATGCTCTTTAACTTCGAGCTGTGTCAGCTGTGCGGTTTACTGTCCCCAAGCCTGCGCCCAGAACTCCTGCAGCCAGAAGACATCAGGTTTGTTTACACGTCTTCATTAATCCAGCTCCTTCTGACTGAGATGAGTTAGGAAGCAATTACCGAAGCAGGTCAGCTGGCAAAACTGAGAAGGCAATACAGCTAGACGGGGCCAAGCAGGTGGGGCTGGGTGAGAAGTTACGGCCTCTTGCACTGGTATGCTGGAGCTTGGCAGAGAGCGTGCCCCTGGCTGTACTCCACTACATGTTGCGATGTATAAAGGGAAATCAAGTGCTCGAGAGTTGAAACAAAGGGCTGCTGAGTATTGTGTCTGGGAAGGTATGTGTGACTGACATACTTCATGAGGTGCCCCAAAAAATTGTGATTCTTTTAGGAGAACATTCCCCAAAAGATGTAATTATTTGATGTAGGAATTCATACTTTCCCATCAATGTGTAATTCCTTAGAAGAGTACTGTTGAAGTATGGGACAGTTGGGCCAATACTGGCACAGGACATTAAGCACCAAATGAGGTGTGTTTGTAATTAAGCAGAAGCCTCCATGCTCAGGCCTTGAGATGAAAGATGTCTGTATCTCTAATTTTATCTGGGAAATTAATAAGCTGTAGAAATTAATTCTCTTGTAATCCCATTTTGTTCAAGAATGCCCTAGTTTTCTGTCCTGTATCACACTTCTGTACGTATTTACCTAATTGGGTTGAGTATCTGCACTGCTGTTAGCTTCCAGTACTTTTCTGTCAGTGATCTACTGCTGCTGCTGAAGGAGGAGCAGGTAGCGCTTGCTGTTTTCTACCCAGCTCCAGGATGGCAGGTTGTTGGGCAGGACGGGATGGAGAGCAGGCCCTGGACCACCCCTAAGAGGAAGAGGGGAGAGAGGTCTCTAGCAGACCTAACGCACCTGGGGGACAGCTATCTGTGCAACAGTCAAAAACCCCTATTCCCTGGCATTAATGTAGTATCTGATATATCAGGAGTGGTTTTAAACATGCTTTTGGCAGTCTTGTGTCACTCTTGTGTAATCTAAGCCTACAGTGAGGTATTACCTGGTATTATCTCAGTGCAAGGCTACGTTAGGAGTTTTCACCTTTTTCAGCAGAAAGACTGTGGCATCTGACCTAGACTATAAAGTGCTTTGCAAACACGATGCTATTCTTGTTGGGTGGTTTTGTGTCACAAGGTACTAACAGTTCTTAAATAAATGGTATCATTAATTACATGCAATTATCAGATACATTTTAGTGAAATGACTGTATCTGCTCAGCTATCATATGATCTTTGTTAGAAAAGAATAAAGGTTGTTCTTGGCAATGATAATTATTTTCTGTTTCATGAAAACTCCTGTGGTTTGTTCCCTTTCCATGCTCAGATACCATGATATGGGTGGATTAGAAGAGGATGAAGGGCTACACAGAACGGTAGCTGCAGAACTCCACCTTTAGCAGGCTCACAAGTGTAACAGTGAAGAAATAACGACACACACTACACCTGTAAGCCCCCCCCAGCAAGCACTGTAATCTTCGATAAATTTTCAATCAGTTTCATTTGACTTTAGAGCAGAGGTCTTCAGGGAGAAAATGAGAGACTTCTGGTTGATTAATAATTTTTGATACTATTTAAAACACCTCTCAGTATGTGTCTTTATACAGTTGACTTAAAACAAAGATCCGCATATTAAGTAGCAGCTACAGTTTTGACTGTCTCTTCTAGAATGGCTTACCGGTTTTTTAAATATTGAAAGACATGTTATGCCTTCTTACAGGTATGATATTCCTCATCACAGGAATTTTTTGAAGGTCCTACTGTCATTTGAAATATGTGAAATATCAGTTGCAGTCAAAACATATTGCAGAACATAAAATCTGTATCACCTTCTGTTCACAACTGTTATCTTAAGAAAATGGTACTTGTAAAGTTGATATGTTCTTTTTTCTGACCAAAATAGGTGGATTAACTACAGGTACCCATAATCCTCACTAGCACATAATGCATGTGTTCTCTTGAAGAAAATTGCCTCATTATAGCTGTGTGCCAAGGGCAAACTGCTAATTATGCAGTAGCAGAAAAACATATACCTGTAATGCAGTCTTTGAGTAAATCCCAAAACAGTGGAGAAAGAAAGAAAGGAAGGGGCAGGAGAGGAGAGACTGGTCCTCTGAAAGAATGATGAAAGTCTGCAGGCAATATGTAGCCTGTTACATATTTCTGTGAGGCTTATCTCATTTTTGCAAGAGCTCCCGTGAAGAGCTTCAGAGTAGGGCAGCCAAACGTCCGGACCCTGGGAACCACACACACACTTTATCTTTACCTGGTTGAAAGCCACAAGACCCATACTGCAGACCTCAGGAGCTGGGGGAGGCAGCAGCTTTGGGACTAGGGTGTAGGCAGGAGGGAATGGGGCTCCCTGGGGCCTTACCAGACCCTCAGTGAGAGGGGGCTAGGGTGGGCTTGCAGCTCTGTGAAGCTCAGAGTCCCTGTTTGGGTCCCTCTTTCTTTCTACTGTCTAGAAGGAAAAAGTCTGCTCAAAGCTCTGGTTCAGAAAGGGCATACATAACTGCAGTAGGAACTGGAGTGATTCTGGATGTGCCTAGAGGTGCTAAAACTCAAGTGCTTCAAATAACAGATTCGAATGGATTTTACTTCAGGGGCAGGATATATTAAGATTTAAGTGGATACAAAGGTAGGAGGGCCTCTTGCAAGCACTGCTCTTAGCCTTTCATGCTAAACTTCATACACAAGCAAAGAAACTTCATATACAAGCCTTCAGGCAGGAGGGAAAATGCTCCCTGCAGTCAAAATATGAGGCAGGGGATTGTTGATGGTGAGCAGAAATGTCTTTCCTGATGCTGGCTCAGAGGTGCATGCTGTCTGCAGACTTTTCTTGTCACGACCCTGGATCTTTTGCCTGGGAAAGAGTGCTGAAATAGGCTTTGCTGTTGTATATGGCTGTTCTAGCACTTGCTGGAGCTCCATCTCTTTGCAGTCCTGGTATTGTTCTGAAGGAGGATCCCTCAGTGGGAGGCGACCCTGCTGTTTGCAGTGTTGTTAGGCTCTGTGCATGTTCCCTAGGTGGAAATATTGATCAAAGGAGTGCGACGGGGTACCCTTCCTTGCTAGTAGTGGTCAGGTGCTGGGGAATGCGTGCGTGTATGGCAGCCAAACTTTGTGAAAAACATTGTGCAGTTCCTGAGAGCCAAAGGTTAGAGCAACCACGGCAGTCGTTCAGTAAGCAAGCCGCCTTCTCCAGTACTTTCTAGACATGTCTTTGTGTGCCAAAGATAATAAATTCCTGTTTGTGGCTGCAGTCACAGCTGCAATGAGATTTGCCAGTACAGATACCCCGTGCTGGCTTTCTAACATGTGCTTGTTCTCGAAGAGAAGGTTTGTTTATATCAACCTTTTGTTCACAAAGATCCTTACATCTGGCCTATGTCCTGCAAATAAAGGGATCATGTGCTGTAGTAGCCTCCCTAAAATAAGGGGTGGGTTAATGTACCCTGCTGCACCCTCTTAATGACACTGTATGTTCTCGCTGTTAATTGTTGAGGTATGAAAACACATGTATTTGTACACTGAGAAGTTTGTGCTTACTATAAACACTTTCCCTATTTGTTGGCTTTCCTTTTAGCAGCTGCGGTTTAAAACTAAGGCAAGCCAAAACTTACCATTATTCTCTGGCATGTGATAAGAACTTGGGTGCCAGAACAAATCAAACAGGGGGGCTGGTGGTGTTTGCTTAGCTGACTATTTTTGTTTAGGTTTGGGGGTTTTTTGTTTTTGAAGTCTGTCATGCTGGTACATTCAGTCCCTATCCAAAGT